TCCTTCGATTATTCGTTACTTAAAACCTTTGATAGGCGATTTGTTTACCGCTCATTTCGCGGATTGTCACTTATATGAGACAATCTTCCCGTCGTTAGGGGGAGATAAGAACGTCAACGTTCCTGAAGAACGACGTGAATTATTGTGGACGACTCCCACTTTGTCTCATTTAGATCCCCGCACTGCTCAGTCTAAAGCTGAAGTGCAACGCATATTAGATCTTTATAACATAGCTCAGAGAATGCCAGATGCTTTCACCGATCTAGCATGCGTGACAATATCACATATTCTAGCTGTGAATACACTTGCAAAGATGGATGTACCAAATGTACAACAGACTACCCTCCTGGAAGCCCGGGAATCCAATCTTGGTGATCCACGTACAATAACGGCTAGCCAATCACGGGCCCCTACATAAAAGCGTGGAAGACCCCTTTGTTCAAAGGATTCACACCCCCGGAATAGGAAAACCACGACACAAGGTCCTGAAGAACCTACCGTGAATCTAACTATTGCTTACTTTTTCTACCCAACTCATGAGGAAATTCTAGATTATGGAAGCGTCCTTGAAGAGATGAATCCTCCTCCTAAGAATCGAGAGATTTCGGTCTATTATGCTAGCTTAGATGACGTGTGGTGTAGAAATAAGATGATTGTCGATGATGCATTAGCATTTGATGTAGCTACTGAGATCGTGTTGAGCGATGACATTGAATTACGTTCTGTTGATATAGAACTGATTGGTTAAACTAGAAACAAGCAATCCAAGTCGAACTCGATTCGCTTGCGAAATGTAAGGTGTTTGGACCTGTAGCTCCTACTCCTCCACATGTGAAACCAATTGGCTATAAGTGGGTTTTCGTTCGAAAACATATTGAGAATAACGAAATTGTACGTTACAAAGCTCATCTTGTTGCACAAGGCTTCTCACAATGCCCCGAGATTGACTATGACGAAACTTACTCACCCGTTATGAATGTGATTACTTTTCGCTACCTTATCAATTTGGTAGTTTCTGAAAAATTGGATATGCAGCTGATGGACGTAGTAATTGCGTATCTCTATAGGGATCTTGATACGGAAATATATATGAAAGTTCTTAAAAGACTTACATTGACTGGTTCAAATATTTCCAAACCCCGAAACACATTTTCAATTTTGCTAAGGCGTTCACTTTACGGTTTGAAACAATCCGGAAGAATATGGTATAACCGTTTGAGTGAGTATTTGACTAGTTAGGGATATGTGAACAACGAACTATGTCCTTTGTGTGTTCATTAAGAAGTCACATTTCGGATTTGCGATTGTTGTAGTATATGTTGATGACATGAACTTCATCGGAACTCCTGAAAAGCTCGCGAGAACTGCCTCGCACCTGAAGTCAGAATTTGAGATGAAAGATCTGGGTAAGACTCGATACTGTCTCGATCTCAAAATAGAGCATTGTTCGGATGGAATCCTAGTACATCAATCGAACTACACCCAGAAGGTGTTGCACCGTTTTAATGAGGATAAAGCGAAACCTTCGAGTACTCATATGGTTGTTTAATCGCTAGATTCAAAACGAGATCCCTTCCGTCCGAAGGAAGGTGATGAAGAGATTTTGGAGCCTGAAGTTCCTTATCTAAGTTCTATAGGCGCTTTATTGTACTTAGCTCAATGCACTAGACCCGACATCTCATTTGCTATTAATCTTTTGGCAAGATATAGTAATGCACCTACACGCAAACACTGGACTAGCGTGAAAGACATCTTCCGTTACCTTAAAGGTACTACGGATTCAGGCTTGTTCTATCCCTATGAATCCTCGAATAATGCCGCACCCTATGGTCCTCGAGTTGATTCTCGCCTTGTTGGTTATGCCAACGCATGATACTTGTCTGATCCACACAAGGCGCATGCTCAAACGGGTTATGTCTTTACCGTTGGAGGCACTGCAATATCTTGAAGGTCAACTAAACAGACCTTAGTTGCCACTTCGTCTAACCATGTTGAAATTCTCACCTTACATGAAGCAACTAAGGAATACTTTTGGTTGAGAGCAGTAATGGGCCATATTCGAAGCTCATGCGATCTTTATCCCGCCGTTGATGTCCGGACGACGATCTTTGAAGACAATACAGCATGCATCGAACAGCTCAAGAAGGGTTACATCAAAGGAGACAACACCAAGCACATTGCGCCAAAGTTTTTCTTTTCACATCAACAACAAGAGCATCAAAAGTTTGAAGTCACGCAAATCTGTTCACAAGGCAATCTGGCCGACCTCTTCACCAAATCACTGCCAAAGACAAGGTTTTAGAAGCTTGTTCATGGAATTGGTATGCTTAAACTTTCTGAGTTGTAACTTTGCTATTTCTCTTTGGAATTATGTCAAACTCAGAGGGAGTATCCTGAAGATACTTGCTTGATCTTAATGTACTCTTTTTCCCTACGATTAGGAGCATTTTTCCCATTGGGTTTTTACTACCTAACTAGGTTTTAACGAGGCACCCACCTTGGGCTGGTCATATCCCTGATGACATCATCTAGACGTTTCTTTTGACTTTGCATTTCTCACGCATTTTTCCTTAGACTACGGATTTTATCCCTACTCGGGTTTTTGCCATAGCCTTACACTATATTTGGATGAAGAAATTTAAGATTACTATGGAATTTTAAAATGATGGAAATTGAAATTGCGAGATTTATTTTCTAAAATTTGTAAATTTTCTTGTTTGGTTAACCTAAAAGAACAATGGAATTGAATACGGAATTTGTTATTTTTAAACTCTCAATCATAGAAATTGAGAAATGACACCTATTTACATGGAATTTGAACTTGGGATTTGGAGGTCCTAAATTCCAAGTCTTTTTAGCAGGCGGAAATTCTAAATTTCTATGTTTATAAATCCAAACAAGAGAATTAGTGCCTGTCAATTTATAAATTCTAACTTTTACCAAAATTCCATGTTTATTTCCCTCATCCAAACATAGTGTTAGGGTTTTTTTAGTGAGACTTACTACTTATGCAAGTTCTTACTTTATTAAGAATAAGCGTTGTTCCTTAGAATCAGTGCCGATGAGTCGACTTCCTCAACTTTTGCATGATGCTAAATCTACCTTGAGTATTTACACACTCAAGGGGGAGTGTTGTAAACATTCCTAGTTTAAGTGTGATTGTGTAAATCTTAGATTATATTTTATTCTAGTTATCCTTTCCTATTGTATCTTGTATTCCTTGGGGATAAAGGAATATCTTCTCCCTTTTTACTACTATAAATAAAGGCATAATGTAGGAGGGATAACAACACACACATTCCCTACAATTCTACAAACACCTATTTTCTCTCTTCTCCTTGCCGCCGGCCCTCTCTCTCCTTACCAGATAAAATAGACCACAACAAACATAGAATTGTTTTGATTAATTTCTTTTGATTAACAACAAAGCAAAACACCAACAAAGAGAAACTACAATAAAATATCACGATGTCGAGAGGTTCCAGTAGCGTTCACCACTAGAGGCATCAACAGGAGGCAAGAGCTTGATTGATAATATAATGTAGCAAGCTCAAGTTAGCCAGTTCATCAGCTACAAAATTCATCTCACAATAAACATGACGGATCGAATTCACAAATCCAATCCATGTGTAATAGTCCCGTTAATTTTTTTTTTTTTCACCATTACCCTTATTTTACCCGTATACATGCTTTTTAACAACTTGCAAAATTTAAAAAAAAAATTTCATAATTTTTTTTTTACAATTAAACACCGTTATAGGTACATTCATCATACATTCCGTATTTTAATTTTTTAAGTCCTTATACCATTCCAATAATTGAAATAATAGTTTACGGATGATATTTTTAACTATTACCAATGAAGGTAAATATAATATTTGCTAAGTATTATTGGGTTACAAAAATTGTTTAGAAAACATTTCTGTCAACACATTTATGTCAATTTCACGGTTACCCGCAAGGAATTTAAATTAATTTGGCAAATTCATTGATGATGAGAATCATCATTCCTGTAGCAGTGTTATTGAGAAAAGGACCGATGAATTCATTGCTAATTTATTGGGTGCTAAGTATTATTGGATCGAGAACATGGTTTGTGTTAGTTTTACATATATAAAATAAATGGGTAAACGGTTACCTGTTTATAACCGCGATTAATACCCATAACTGCCCATTTAAATTTCGCGGGTAAACGGTTATACCCATAACCGTTTATTTATCTAAACGGTTACTCATAACCGTAACCATTTAATTTAAATGGACGGGTAACTGCGGTTACCCATAACCAATGGGTATTTGCCCATCCCTAGTAACAACTCACGGCAAAGCCTTCTTATTTAGGGCTGGTTTGGTATTGTCGTGCTTTGAAAAAAAGCTGCTTCTGCTGTGCTATGAGAATAAGCGGCTATAAAATAAAGTTGTAGAGTGTTTGGTAAACTTTTTTGTAAAAATTCTTTTGAAAAAAAAAACAGTATTATAGTGTTTGGTAAACTTTTATGTAAAACAGATGTGAAAAAAAGCCAGTTTTTCAAAGCTGGGTTTTGCAGCTTCTGGTTTTTGGCTTTTTTCACCCAAAACTGTGAAAAAAAGCTGAAGCTGAATGTTTACCAAACACAAAAAAGGCTCCCAACTTTTTTTTATACCAGTTTTTTTCAAAATCATCTCAGTACCAAACCAAGCCTTACTCTAAAAGTCCATTATGGAATTATTATTTTGTAGAAGGAGATAGAATTGGGAGTTACCAGCCAAGCAAATCACCATAAGGTAGACAAGAATCCCATTGTTCTCTACTCAGCTTCAAAGCCTTTCTTTTGTTTACATTTGGAAGAGGTAGTTTAAGAGCTAGTTTCACCAATGCTCTGTTGCATTTTACGCCCGCAGTAATAAGCTCAAGGCAACAAACTGGTTCGAGGTCTGGATGGTCGCCAAAGAGCATGTTACCATATATATCTGTTCCACAATATTCGGAAAAACCGATGCTGCAACTCCGCGGAAACACGATGGAGGACGCAATTGATGCTGATGGAGAAAAGGGCGATTCCGATGGAGAAAGGGATAGTGTGGTTGTAACTGATGGTGATATTGTTACAGAAAACACCAGAAACAAAGTTGTAATGTCTTTTGGGTAGATGTTGAAACTTATTGCCATCATTTTTTTTAATGGAAGAATTTTTGGAGTTGTCGAGATTAGAAAACAGGAAAATGTGTACTTATAGGCCAAATATTGACCATGAAAGATGCATTTTCGACTGTTTAATTGTTTTGGCGTCATAAGTTATCACTAAACGTTGAACTAATTTAATCACCTTAAGTCAGATGTTTATAATGACGTTTCTTTATTCATTAGGTTTGCTTCGTACGTTAATTTGAACTACGTTAGGGTAATACTATTACTATCAGTCTATCACACACCATTTTTAACTTTTCACAAACTTAGTTAATTCTATTATTTGGTTTTTTCAATTCATTCGATCAGATGGTAAATTGAAAGGAAGGTGATGAAAGCAAAAAGATGTGTGTGAATGACCCCATCCTTTTTATCAGCTGAATAAATTAAATTAAACAAAAAAAAATATTTAAAAAAAACAGCAAATTAGATGCGCAAAAAAAAAAAAGACCTTACCAATAAAGTTGAAATTCGCCAAACTTTAAAAAGTTTAGAGGATAAATTGGCTGAAAAAATAATTCAAGGGTTAATTGGCACTCACTGCATGATAGTTCACGGGACGAAAATTTACCCGAACATAAATGAGATTAAAAATAAAAAGAAAAATGCAATTCACTATACTTACACTATTGTACATTTTGCATTAATTATTAATCCCTTCGTCAGTTCTTTCTGCTTCCTTTGACACTATAAAGGAGAGCACAAGTGACTTGCATTTTGAACCAGAAGAAAATGGAAGCATCACCCTGTTCAGTCATTTCTTCCTTGGCCATCTGTGTCATGGTTTTGGTAGCTGCTGCTGCTTCATCTGCCTCGGCTCAAGGTTTGCCATCATTTATCTTTATCATCTTTCATTTCATTTTATGATTAAGCGAAAATAACAATATATATGCGCTATGTTTAAGTGTTGACCTGAAATAGTATTGTCGCGTCTACCGTCTTTGTGACAGTTTTACATGGGACTCTTATTTGTGTTTGTTTATTGTGGTAGCCGTATAGGGGTTTAAAATATTTACATCTTGTGCGAACTGTCTCCAGATCAAGAAATTGATCATTGAAGAAATTGTACCCATCTGACACCTCTTATATTTGATTGTTGTTATAAAAAAAAAAGTGTTTGAACCTGTTCGTTCGTCTTTAAGCAAAAAGGTGGAGGAGAACAGTTATGTTTTACTGGTTCGAATGTTCTAATTATTCTTCTCCTTGCCTTCTTCCTGGGACAAAAAAATTAGACATATCAACTATCTCTAATGTATCAATCTCATGCAAAAAAAATAAGAACCTTGCATGTCGCGCCTTAAATTCGGGGTTGCAAAATAATTCGAGTTTGGTGTGCGAATAAAATAAATAAAAAATAAAAAGAAAATAAATATTCTTATTTTACATCATAAGGTTTCACTATAGCATACAATCACACTCTAATTTACTTTAAAAGTTTCTCCAGACTTAAAAATCAACTACTTTTTCAGGTCAACACCTATCAATGTAAGAAATGTAATGTTTCCTCTTCACTCTACTCTATCAACCCATGCCAGTTGACAGGTGACCTCATTTTCTCTTTTACATTATGTTTGGATGAGGGAAATAAACTTGGAATTTTGGTAAAAGTCAGAATTTATAACTTAACATTCACCAATTTCCTTGTTTGAATTCATAAACATGGAAATTTAGAATTTCCGCGTGGAAAAAAAACTTGGAATTTGGGACCTTCAATTCCCAGTTTCAAATTCTATGTAAATATGTGTCATTTCCCAATTTCCCAATTTCTATGATTTAGAGTTTAAAAATAACAAATTCAGTATTTAATTTCATTATTCTTTTAGATTAACCAAACAAGAAAATTTACAAATTCTTGAAAATAAAATCTTGTCATTTCAATTTCCGTTATTTTAAAATTCCTTAGTAATTTTAAACTTTTTCATCCAAACATAGTGTTAGTCATCTTGTCAAATTCTCAGTCCCCAAATTTGAAACCCGATTTGATCATTTATTCGACTCTAACCGAAAATGCTTCATTTCCTTTTCTCGTGCACTTTAGACTGATCATTGAACTATTGGTGCCCCCAAAAATAGACTCAACTACTTTTAATTTCATACTTTCTTGGATCACATACTTTCCATAATGCAATGATCATATTTATTCAATTCTTTTGATACCTTCCCGATAAGTTCATAATGCATGAAAGAATTATCGTTCACGATAATTATAAAGGGATATCATCATGACATATGACTCGTATTGATCAAGTAATCAAACAATTGAACTAAATAACACTTATTACATAATCATCTATATGAAGCCATATAAAAATAACAGCATAATACATAAAGTTTCCCAAGAATTCCCCCTACCTGAATTCCTGACACGTCCTGATCCCGATGTCCCACGGGCATCGGAATGGTCACTTGTTGGCCGATACCCGAAGGTGATGAAAGCCATTTAATGAATGCATATGCTGAGAACATGTAAATCATACTTTCTTAGATCACATACTTTCCATAATGCAATGATCATATTTATTCAATTCTTTTGGCAACAATGAAAACATAATGATAATGCATGACATGTTTAGAGCATATATCTAGTTCAGAATACAAGCGGAAGGTGAAATTACAATGGTGTCAAGGCAAAAGAGATGGCACAATGTCATTGGTAAGGGAATGCCTCGTAGTTTGGGTCGTAATCCTCGTTCCTATGTCTTGAGGGGGCGCAAAATAAACATGAGTGGACCAAGTTGATATATATATATAATACTGAATTAGTTATCAACATACTAACCTCCAAAGTTTTATGAAAACATCAATAGCATAATATGTAGTAGGTTTTCCGAAAACCCTAGCATACCAAAAAACCTTTCATGAAACATATCTCATATATAATGTGCTAACTAGTGATCTCAATATCAATATCTCTCGGCTCGAAGCCATCAATATATATACCTCCAGCCAGCCATATATCTTCCTCAGCCAGATGTCTCCCTCTCCCGTAGGCAAAACCATGACCACTAGATATGCACAAAATCATTTAACATAGTCTTTCCAAACATAGATACATATATCTCAAAAACATCTTCATAGTATAAAGTCATTCGTCATCTATACTATAAATAAGTGTGTAAAAGCATGTTCATAGGTAGTATAAAGTCATCCATCATCTATACTACAGAGAACATGAGTTCGATAAAATATGGTATTCCAAAATATTCTCAGTAAGCGTAATATCTCATAAAATGTAATCATTAAATTATGCTTTTTATGTATACATTTCTACTATTAAAACATGCATTTTAGAAGGGGTCCACTTACAGATACTTGGTCGTCGTAGAGCCGTACGAAATAGGAATGACGGAATCACCGCTAATAATTGCACCTAAGCACATAAAGGGTACAATTAATAAAACTCTAATCAAACTATTGAATTTTGAGAAATAGACGTCGGAAAAGGGTCCAATACATCAAAATTAGCCTAGGAGGGGTCCCAGATGAAAACTTGAAAAAAGTCAAAAAGTCAATGTTTACTAGTCAAAGTCAAAGTCAACGCTGATCGTTGACCGAGTCAGGTCAAAGTCAACAGTCCGGGTCGGGTCAAAGTCAACGGTCCGGGTCGGGTCAACTAGGTTTAGGGCTTAGGGCTTAGGGTTGGACTGAGTTGGGCTTAGGGGGTTTTGGGTTTAGGGCTTAAGGTTAACAGGCCTAAGGCCCGACTTCTATATGGCCCAAGGGCCTTATTTCAAATGGGTTTAGGTTTTAGAGCTTAAGGCCCGGCCCAAGAATTGGGCCAAGGGCCTTTGCCACACTCGACTCGAAGGCCTAAATCAAAGGGTTTTAGGTTTTAAAAAAATAATAATAATAAATAAATAAAGTAAAAAGGATTTAGGTTGGGTTTGAGTTCCACAGGTCGAATGCCCAAGTTCCACACACGGCCCAAAGGCCTAAAAGACAAGGGTTTGGGCTTGGGGTTTAGGCATAAAGACCTGGTTGCTTGCTTTCGTTAGGGAAGGAAGCCGGAACCTTCCGAACTCCGGTCGACGACATACTTCCACCCTAGACTACGATCTAGGTACCAAAATGACAAATGAGACAAGGGTAAGAGTTTCATACCTATTTCACGTCGTGAGGTGGCCGGAGTTGGCCGGAATCCTGCCCGAGAGGTATGGGGCTCGCCGGAGAGATTTGGGTGTCCCAGAGCTTCGTAGAGATGAGGGAGAGAAGGAATGAGGTTCCAGAGGTGATGATGGTGTCGTGGCTAGTTCGGTGTGAGGATGGGTATGTGTGTGTGTCGCCGAAGAGGGAGATCCGAGAGAGGGTAAGAGAGGTGTGAGAGAGATTTGAGAGAGAGAAAGAGAGAGAAAGAGAGATAAGAGTGTTGACTCGGGGAAAGGGAAAAAGAGAAGAAGGAAAAGGTTGAGACGCTGCCATGTGGCAAGCTGCGGGAAAAATAATCTAAAGGGAGGGTCCAGATTGGTTAAGGATAAGGGGACCAAATTGTAAAAATCACATAAACTTTAGGAAAAATGTAAAATTTACAAATAATTAAGGGTGGGGTTTAACAATTCCAAAACTTTTGGACTACACTAGCCAAGAACCTTAATCGCGACTTTCAGTTCTTGCTTTTCATCACTATATTTCTCTCTTCATCTTCTCCTATCTCTACGTGCAGCTAGTGCATGCATTGCATGCCATGCATCAATTTGTAGACTCAACTATATATTTACTTCCCTTTCACGCTAATGAGGTGCTGCTAAACAGTTATGATGACTCTAAAAACTGCAATACCTACGTGGCGTGCAAGCCAAGTAACTAATAAGCAAACTAAGTATTTTTGTGGATTGTTGATGCGATTGTGCCAACTCACTATCAAGCTCGGTTGCGCGAATAAGAAGGATGCAGCGATGTGATAATGAAACGTCCTGCTGACTTCTACACAGAGTGACGTTGGCTGAGGAAGAAATAATCTCAACCTAGGGTTATGCTAACCTAAAGACAAGGTTATGCCTTTTGTTGTGAAGTTGTTTGGGCATAATTAAAAAAATTAGCCAAATTAAGTCTCGACAGTCTCAGGCCAATAGTGTTGTTCATGTAGCCAAATCTTGGACAGAGTATGATTGCTTAAGGATTAGTTTATGATGTGACCAAGTCGTAGTCAAAGTAGGATTATCAATTGTTTAATTAATGGATAGAGTATAAATTGATCAAGTAATAAGACCAGAGTCATGGTTCAGGTGGAAGAGACCGGGACATGATGGTGATAAAGCTTCAGTCAAGGATAATTCTAAGTATAATAAGAATATGTCGATGAGTTGTAGTGTTATTAGGATTTTGTCACTCGACAAGTTTGTTCATCACGAAATTCGCCCTTATAAATAAAAGTGATTCTGCAACATAGAAATGACCTTCAACTCAACACACAAACACTCGCTCTATGTAAAACCCTCTCACACTCATGAGAAAAATTGACACGCCCTGACCTTGATATTCCATGAATACCAGGATAGACACGTGTTGGCCGACACCCAAGGGTGACGAAAACCATTAATTGATACAAAAGCTAAGAATAAGAAATAAATAAGGGTTATAAATTTAAAATACAAAGAATTAACAAATTAGGAACGTGTTCAGAGCATACAACTAACTAGAGTTTTAAAAGAATTAATATAAAATTGAATAAATAAAAGGATGTTGGTCCTACACCGAGAGGACTCGAATATGCCAAAGCGAAGACGTTGACGTCGGGATCGTATGCCTCAATTCTAAATCCTGAAAGGGGACACAAAACAAGGGTGAGTGGACCAAGTTCATATATATATACATAATACAAAAACGGTTATGAACATACTAACCCCCAAGTTTATATATAATGAAAACTACTAGCATAATAAGTGATAGGTTTTTCTGAAACTCTAGCATGCCATAAAATATCTCGACATGTATAACGCGGAAAAACATCATATAAATCATCGCGTGTATCATCTCGTAAGCGTGGTGTGCTGCTAGTAAGATCACTGAATAAATATAACTCCCGGCCCAATGCCTGCTCCGTGGTCTCTGCGCTCGTAGCCAGAGATTACCAACTCTCGGCCCAATACCTGCTCCATGTCCATCAGCCCGTAGCTAGGGATTATTTCTCCCGGCCTATCTACCAACATCAGATCCTCGCCCCAGGCGGCATAGTGTCCACTAGGTACGCACAAATAGTTACGCCTCTCAAAAAATAACCACTTCATAGTTTAAAGTCATCCATCGTCTATACTATAAAGAGGGGTTTCGAAAACATGTTCTAGCATCCTATCGTCATCCATCGGATAGTCTACCAGTTCATAGTTTTTATAGAAAATACAATATATCAAAATATAGCTCAATATAGGCCAACAATTAATTCCTCACAAAAAACACGAGACAAAAATGAACATATTTCATAAACATGCTTAACATAAAATCAAATCATAAACTCGTAAGGCATGTTATTCATTTATGCAATTAAACTATAAAATCATGTAAATTTTAGAAAGGGTCCACTCACAGTACTTCGTCGTCAAAAAGTCACGCAACTAGCAAAGACAGAATGCCACTATAATTGCCCCTAAGCACATAAAGAGTCCAATAAATAAAACTATATAATAGCAATTGAATTTTGGAAAACGGACGTCAAAAACGGATTCAGGACATCGAATTACCCTAAGAAGGGTCCGGACGAAAACCCGAAAAGTCAACCCTAAAGTCAAAGTTGAAAGGGGGTCAACGGTCAAACTAGGTCAAACGAGTTTTAGGCTTGAATCCGGATTAGGGTTTAGGTTAAATAGGATTAGGATCTATTGGGTTTTGGGTTTAGGGTCCTAAAGTTTTTGGTTAAAAAAGGATTAGGGTGAAAAAGGGTGGTTTGGGCTCCTATACATATACACCCACGGCAGACACACACACACACACACACACACACACACTCACACACACTTACACACACAACACACACACATGCGTGCACATCACACATGTACACATGCATAGCACACACACACGGTAACACGCACACGCGTGCATACATATGCACATACGCACATACACAATCATACATACACACACAGTGCCACACGGCCCGCAGGCTTAGAACCCAAGGCCGGGCATTAAGCCCTTAGGCCTAAGGAGGAAACTGGGCTTTAAGCCCTTAAATAAAAGGAAAGAGGCCCTAAATCCCGGGGGTTGCTGGGCGGCCTGAAAGGCCTGCGAAATACCGGAGGGGCAAGCCGAGCTCTGGCAGACGGTTTTGTAGCAAACTAAGGTTCCAAACAAACACTAAAATGAAGAGGGAAAAGAGTAGAGTATTTAGGTACCCTCGTTTCGCCATGGAACTGCCGTGAGTGCTCTGAAAAACCTTTGAAGGTCAAGGGTTCGTCGGAAAATATGGGTTTGGCACACCCGAGCCGATTTCCTTAAAAAACCTTGTAAAAACGATAATTTAAAGCTTAATATATCTCAATCACGCAAAACCAAGAAGAATTTGAGGTAATCCGAAACTTACCTAACCGGAAAACCAAGGGAACTCGCCGGAGAGTTCCTGGGTTCCATAGTCCCAGCTGTGCCGAGAGAGAAAGGGAGAGGAAGACGAGGTTTGAAGAATATTATTGTCTTCCTCGTGCAGGAAAGGAAGAGGCAGAGAGAAAGATAGAGAGGAAGTTGTAGAGGGAGAAAATGAAGAAGAATGAGGAGGTTACGGGGAGAGCAGAGAAAAGAGAGAGACCGGGGGAAAAACAAAATCATAAGGTGGGCCCCACGTGGCTCACCATTTAAGAACTAAAGCTATTTTTAAAATATACAAGGGGTTAGGGTGTTTCAAAAATATTCACTAACCTCTCAATCGGCACATATTCAGTTTGATTAAATATCACTAGATTGATAAACTGACGCCATATTTAGTAGGTTATTGGAGTCGTAGAATCAGTGTGTCAATGAGTACCCTTATTTTGGTTAAACACCACTACTTCTACTTCAGTTGATTACCTATCCAAGTCTTTGGTGGTAAAGAATCTTTAATTCTCTTGTTGAACGAGGTCACCTAATTAGCTTACTTGCGAAGTGAAGTGTTCCTAAGTTACTTGGTGTTAGGCATTTTGAAAGACAAACCATTATTAAACTTCACATCAAAGGCATAACCTTGTCTCCATGTTACAAAACCTTATGTCGAGAGTGTTCATTCCTCGACCAAAGTGACTCAGTATATAAGTCAGCAGCGCATTTCATCACAAGACTACAATGTTCATCTCATTTGCCCGACCAAGCTCCGTAGAAAATTGGCATGCGCATCAACAGAAGGACATAATTAGCTCAATATTTTATTGTCCTACACGCCAAATAGGCTTTGTAATTTATACGGTTAACAAAAGTTCAATAATGGATCGACTGTCAACGTGTCGAACTAAGTAATATGGGTAACACTTCAATTCGCAAAGAAAGCTAATGAAGTGACCTCATTCAGCGAGAGAATCAAAGACTCCTTACTAGCAGAGATGGCGTGGTACACGATTGAAGGACAGGCAACGGGCAGCTTTCACTTGCGAAAAGGGCCTTTGGATAGGCAACTAACCGAAATAGAAGCAGTGTTGTTTAACACTCCTAGACCAACTGATTATACGACTCTAGTGACCAAATTGAATATGGTGCTGGTTTGTCAACCTAATGATGTTTAACCAAATTAAATTTGTGTTGACTGAGGGTTTGGTGAAGCAGTTAGTATTTTTTTCAGGGGTGTGAGAGAGTTTTGCGTGGAGCATTTGTTTGTGTGTGGAGTCCAAGGTCTCCGTCTTCGTCGCACGAAGTCCTGTATTTATAAGATTGCATATACATTTGGACGTGATGATGCTGTTCGTGTCGTGGATCATCAAATCATCTTCTGATGATAAGCTAAAAATACCTTCTAACAGTATATGTTAATACAAATCCAACTGACATCACCTAAAGCTATACGGCCGAGGACATAAAATTTTGGATAGGAATCACTAAACCACAAAGTAGTTTATGGGCGAGTGAGTAGCTGAGTCCGGACCACCAAGTAAACATTTCTTTTGCAGCAGAGAAACCATTTGCTTCAGTCATAAAATATTTTTCTCGGCTGCCAGTAAGAATTTAAGACCATCAGAACAACCCATGTCTACAAAAATGTGTTCGAGACAAATTCTACTGGTTGCTTAATGTATTTGAATCTTGGACGGTTACTCGACTCGTGAGGAGAGGCAAGAAAGCCTCTGGCGAAGTCACAACGGATAATCTCGGCTTAAACGGCTGATTGAATTTTTTTTTTTTTCTTTGCGAACATTGACTTGTTACCCTCCCTTTTTTGTTTAAGCATGGCCTAAGCAGCCGAATAGTTAAGAGAATAAAAATATTTTTTTTTTCTAGCAAACGAAAATGAATGTGAACCATAATGAGGAGGAAGCCTATGATGCTTATTTCGAGCTGAGATCTCATAAGTAGTTGGGATGCTTCTCATATTACCAATTAATTTTATAGTGCAACCTCAACTTTCTTCAATTCATTGTAAATGGTATTGTTGCAGTTGGGGTGGATCAAAGCAGTATTGCACTCATTTTCGAACTAAACATCACCCGAGATGATTTTCCAAGTGATTTTTACATTGGTGTCGGCACTGCAGCCACACAGGTACATTCATGTTAAAAATGGTTAATTTACTCATATACAACCTCATACTTTCTTTGTTGATGATCAGCATCGAATATGTAGAAAATGTTGATTAATGTGATGTTGAGTGCAGACGGAAGGGGCAGCCGAAGAAGAAGGGAGACGACCGAGTGTGTGGGATCACCGTGCCAAAATGCTCCCAGGTTCTCATAACCTACAATATCTTTTCTTCATACATTACATATTGGAAAGCTCAGTTACAAAATTCAATTGCAGGTAGCATTCCGAACAGTGACAAATTCCCTTTTGCAATTGATGGATACAAAAGATACAAGGTGAGTAGCAAAAGATAAAAACCTTCTAGCTTGAAAATGGAGTTATTTTTTGGAAATCTAAACTAATAAATTATATGGAATAATCTGCATAGCAGGAGGATATTAAGATCATCAAGGATCTCGGAGTAAATGGTTACAGATTCTCCATCTCGTGGAGTAGGATTTTACCACGTAAACCCAAAACCCTTCCCTTCCTTTCCCTCCCGTCACTTCGTTTTCTTTTTTAATTCCATTTTCTACTTGTTTAAGAAAAACCCTGGTGTTTCTTTTATAACAAAACAATGGGGGCTGTTGATGAATCCTTTGCAGAGGGGAGCTTAAGTGGTGGTATTAATCAACGGGGTGTGGATCACTATAACAGTCTAATCAATGAATTAAAAAGAAATGGTAAGAAGCTACCAGATTCACTACTATAATTTCACTTGTTTTGGCTCAACCATTCATGTTGATTTTTTCCTGGTTGTGTTTCTTATGAAATGTTCATGGTAAATAAAGTTCGCTTCTGAGAGCTTATTAGTACACGCGTTGCAGCATATTTTTTGTAACCAATATTGTTATTTGTGCTTAAAAAATTCAAGGATGTGCTTGATTTAATGCGTTTTCTGTGTCCTGATGCAGGCATCGAGCCTTTTGTCACGATCTATCACTTCGACATGCCACAAGCGCTGCAAGTAAAATATGGGGGCTATTTGAATAGCAAGTTTGTGTAAGTCTTGTTTCAGAAACCATTTTGCAAGTATATGTCCATGGAATTGATCTCCTCTTTTAAATAATGTGTTCTGTCTTGCAGGCAAGACTTCCAAGACTACAGTGACCTTTGCTTCAAGTTATTTGGAGACAGAGTCAAACACTGGTTCACCATTAATGAGCCTAGTTCTCTTGCAGTGTATGGCTATGAGATTGGGATTGCCCCACCAGGAAGGTGTTCCCTTCCAGAAGGACAATGTGGGTTGGGAGCTCCACCTCCAGGAACATGTATTGTGCCTGCCGGTCCCTGCTTTGGTGGTAACTCGTCAACGGAACCTTACATTGCCGCCCATAACCTTATCCTTGCTCACGCTGCAGTGGTAAAACTATATAGAGAGAAATACCAGGTCAAACTTAAAGGCTTGAAAGAAGTCACATTCATCTTTATTCAAACTTATTAAATGAATCTTGTCAAAGTTTTCTTTGATTGTCATCTTGCAGGAAGAGCAAAAAGGAGAAGTTGGAATCGTCCTTGCTGCAACCTATTTTGCGCCATTTTCCAAATCACAGGAAGATAAAGCTGCAGCAAAGCGACTCTTTGATTTCACCCTAGGATGGTCAGAATAACCACTCAAGATCACCTTAAGATGTCCATTAATCTCATTAGCAATTAATATTAGCTTCTTTAATTTTCATTAGGTTTATGGAACCCTTGGTGTTCGGAGACTATCCACAAAGCATGAGAGATCTGGTGAAGGAAAGGTTGCCCACCTTTTCTGCAGAAGAGAAATCTCTACTCAGCGGGAGTTTAGGTAATTTTGTTGGGATAAACTATTACTCATCAGCTGGTGCAAAACACAGGCCTCCTCCTCCTACAGAGCAGTTGCGGCATTCCTTCGATTCATGGGCTGAAGCAACAGGTAAAATATTTTACTTGACATAACCATAATGAAAGAAAATAAAATCAAGCATAGGTTCTAACGTTGTCTCTTGATTATATTTTGGTTATTGCAGCGATCCCAGACGTTTCTGGTGTGGTAAGAATATTTCTAAACTTTTACTTTCTTGCTAACTAGTTTTGTCAAAAAGAAACAATGTTCTCGAAGCTTTGTTGCATAAAATTTGTGCTTGCATATTCCTTGTGGTGCAGTCCAATAGTAATTGGCCTCAAGGGCTGCAGAAGCTGATGAATTATGTGAAGAATAAATATCAAAGGCCACAAGTCTACATTTCTGAAAATGGTCGGATTTCCTACTTGTGCTTCAGTTATTCCACATATGTTTGAAATTATCTGATTACTAATGCAAGTGATCATTGAACCCTAATATGAATTGTTACATCCGCTGCAATTTTGATAGGATATACTAATACAAGGAATGACAGCCGTTCGCTTCATGAACGATTATACGACCCCCATCGAGCTTCCTATATTGCTCGGCATTTGTATCGGCTGAATAGGGCAATGAAGTAAGTGAGGTAACCTTTTAATTAACATAATATCGGCTCAATGAATAATTTCTCGTTCTTATCTATTATATTGCAGGAATGGAGCGAACGTCAAAGGGTACTTTTACTGGGCTCTATTCGACGATGTTGAATGGGGTCTTGGGTTTTCGCTGCAATATGGACTTTACTATATTGATTTCGGCAACAACGACAAGCGCTACCCCAAGCTCTCAGCTAGGTGGTTCCGTGATTTCAACAACAAGAACTACTAGCGATTTCAAAGTCAGATAGTTTCACTTTTCGGTTTTAGGTTGTGCTCCATGTATTTTTTTCTGGAATCAAGACTCACGGTAGTGTGACTCCGAGGAACTTATGTCTGCTAATAAATAAGTATACGAACTTTCTTACAGTTTTTGGTCTGAATCTGTATATCATGGAGAATCTAGATTCCGTTCAATCCACAATCTCTTTGCAAGTAGATTACTCCAAGCTCTCGATCTGCTGCTTTCTGCAAATCTTAATGCATAAAAAGCCACCTGAAAACTAGAGAGAATGTGGAATTGACGACCGCATGGACGTAAAAAAATAGCTGAGAATTCGCTGAGATACTCTTTCTACAGTTCGAACAAGATTACAGTTTCCGAAAATTCCTACACATCAAAGTTGATCAAAATACAATGTCATACCTCTCATCTGAACACAATGTCACGTTAGAAATTTTGACGAATTAGTTTAGGGTTGAACGGTAGGAGGTACAGGAAGACGGAGGGGTTATGTGAGCCAAATTAAGTTTCGGAGTTTATATTAAGATGAGATCGAGTTTGAGTTTTAGTGGACATAAATTAAGTTAAAATAGGAATTGGATCCATTCCGGACCTTAGTGGCCGGAGCTTTGGGATAAAAAAATCTTGACCACATAAATTGAATTTGACGGTTCTCATTAACTCATTGCGCTAGTCCACCTCATACAAACCAACGACTTTGATTTCTTTCCACACAAATCAAAGGCCCATATTTTTTATCTTTAAACTCCGAACACTAAGGTATAGAGTAGATCCAATTCCGCTAAAATAAAAAGCTTGAGAAAGGATGTCAAGCAAAAAAGATGTGACCCACTGTTATTATCTGGTCCAAGTGATTTGGCAGCTTCTGACAGAATGGTTTCAACCCATGCACTAGGGTTTGCTAGTCTTGTAGACTTCATACTACATGATTTGTCGTTTGTGACACGTTTGATCCTGATATTCCCCGAACATTAGGGTAGACACGTGTTGGCCGACACCTAAAGGTGACGAAGCCTAGGATGCATGAGAACAACGAATATAAATAAAAGTTATGAATTAAAATACAATGATTATGCAAAAGAGGAACATGTTCAGAGCATACAATCTAACTTGAACACTAAAGAGAACATAAAATTGAACAAATAAAAGAATGGGTCCTACACCGAGAGGACTCAAAGATGCCGATGCAGAAGTGCCTTAACGCTGGGATTGTACGTCTCGAATCTAAGTCCTGAGGGGGCACAAAACAAACATGAGTAGACCAAGTTGATATATATAAATAATACTGAAACAGTTATTCAACATACTAACCCCCAAGTTTTATGAAAACTAATAGTATAATAGGTGGTAGATTTGCCAAAAACCCTAGCATGCCATAAAACATTTCATAAAACATATCTCTAGATAATGTGCTAACTAGTGGTATCAGCATCACCCAAATGCACATAACAGTGCCCTACACACACCCGCCCGAAGGCTATATAAGTATCATCGCCCGTAGGCAGAACAGTGACCACTAGATAAGCACAAAAATCATTGAACATAGTCTTTCCAACATAAATACATATATCTCAAAACCACTTCGTAGTATATAGTCATCCATCATATATACTACAAAGAGTGTGTAAAAACATGTTCATAAATAGTATATAGTCATCCATCATATATACTACAAAGAACATAAGTTCTATAAAATATGGTATTCCAAAATATTCTCAGTAAAGCATGATAATCATATAATGTAAATTCAATTTACTTATAAAACATTTCATAAAACGTAATCATTAAATCATGTTTTTCATGTTTGCATTTCTACTATTAAAACATGCTTTGTAGAAGGGGTCCACTTACAGATACTCCATCGTCGAAGAGCCGTACGAAATATGAATAACGGAATCACTGCTAATAAAAGCACCTAAGCACATAAAGGGTCCAATTAATAAAACTATACTTAAATGATTGAATTTTGGAAAACATACATCATAAACAAATTCAGGACGTCGAAAAACATAAAGGGGGACCTCGGGTACCCCCACGCACCGCCGTGGATAGTGGCGCATGTGCTCCACGCGTAGGCTCACGCGCTGTTGGGCTGAGGGTTTAGACTGGGTTTGGGCCTGGGCTTGGGCTTCGGTTGCTTGGCACAAAAGCCCAAGCTACGCAAGGCCTGTAAGCCTGGGGTCCAAAGGGTTTTGGGTTTGGGTTTCAATGGGTTTGGGCTCAAATGTAACGGCCTATCCAAGGCCCGTAGGTTTGGGGTCCAAAAGGTTTTGGGCTCGGATGTAACGGCCCAAAGGCCCAATTCTACACGATCCCAAAGGCCTGGGTCTCAAAAGGTTTGGGGTTTCACAAATGGGTTGGGTTCGAAGGTTCGGCCCAAAGCTCTGGGTTAAAGGGCCCGGGCTTGTGGGTTTGGGTCTAGCTGACCATTTCTCGTCAGGGAAGCAGGCCAGAGCCTCTCGAGCTCCGGTCGACTTTGTTCGGTCACCCTAACCTACGATCTAATTACCAAAACGAAGGTAGAGACTAGAGGGAGAGATTTAGTACCTTTAATTCGCCATGAAAGGGCCGGAGGTGGCCGGACTTAGCTCGATAGTCACCGGGGTTCGTCGGAGGCTTCATGGGTTTCTAGGATTCACCGAGCTTCACAAAGACCAGGGAAATGGAGAAAGGGCCCAATCAATGGAGTTGGGTGGTGCTGTCGTTGCTGGGGTGCTCCATTAAGTGTGTGGGTACGAGTGTGAGTCGATAGAAAAAGGGAAACGGAGAGTGAGCTTAGAGAAATCTGAGAGTGAGAAAGTGAAAGGCTGAAAGAGTGAGAGAGTGAGAGAGTGAGAGAGTGAGAGAATGAGAGGTGAAAAGTGAGACTAGTGTTAATCTAGAGTCCTAGATCACTTACACTATTCGTTTGTTACTTGTTACTTAGAATATTCTCTCATGTAATTTAATCTCATATAGGACTCTTGTTGATAATGTATTATATAATTAGCATATGATAGTGAATGAAGTGTGAATTCCAACAATTTCTCTTGATCTGGTTTATGTTTCATACCCTATTGTTCTTCACTTTCTACATGGTATCATCCTTTTCTAGCTTTATTGCTTCCTAACCGATCCTCACCTTCTGCTATGTTAACCTCTGATGCTTCTTCCCCTCACCTACCTGGCCTAAATGTTGCTCAATTTCTAAAACTAACGGGGACAAATTATCTCAACTGGCTGCGTCAACTTCGTCTATTCCTCATTGGGCATGATTTATGGAAATTCATTTATGGCACTTTTCCCCCACCGCCGCGTACAATCACCACCACCACTCCTGCTCCTCCACGCACCATAACCAACTCTGATGGTTCTTCTACAAATGTTACACATGCCCCTCTATCCTCTGTGGTCCCCAACCTTGCATACCTCACATGGTATCAGCACGATCAACTTGTCGTAAGTTATATCACCTCCACTCTCTCTGAACCTGTTCTTGCCTTAACGGTTGGCCATGACATGGCCAAAGCCGTTTGGGACTGCCTGAAGGAACACTTCTCCCATAACTCTATTGCCAACGCAGCCAACCTCCGTTTCCAATTACTGGATATTCATAAAGGCACCCATTCTGTCTCTGAGTTCTTACAACATGCCAAGAATCTCGCTAACGAACTCGCTCATATTAGGCAGCCTATCTCTAATAACGACTTGGTTCTCATGGTGCTTCGGGGGTTAGGTCCTGACTATTGTATACTCCTTACCGCCGTCATTAACTTTAAACCCTTGTCATCCTTCACTGAGTTACACACACAGATTCTTGCTTTTGATCTTCAGAACCCCAACGGCTCATCCACTTCAACTACTACACACACAGTTCTCATCACCACCCACCAACAACCCCAGAACCATCCCCGTAGAAATCAATCTCATCCACCTACCAAAGGTGGCTAGCAAGGTCACAAATGAGGACATGGAGGACAACATCGCAGCAACAATCATGGTCGCAACGGCCGTCCAAATCGTGGCAACTGGAATGCACCCTTCCACCCTTGGAATGGGCCAAATATGAATAGCCTAGCGAACTAAAATGGCCCTCCGAGTGGCATAGAACGCGGTCAGTGGAACTCACAGGGCTTATTAGGCTCGGGCCCTAGCCCTTGGTGCCCAAACTGTTCCACGAATCAACACTCAGCCCAATAGTGTCATCATCATTATCATGGGCCTGATTCTTTTCCACCTTTTGCTGGCTCCCAAGTTGTGCAGTACCCAGACCCCACGTGGTACCCAGACAGCGGTGCCACCCATCACATTACCAGTGATCATAGCACCCTCCAATATCCGCAACATTACAATGGTAATTCAATTGGGTAATGGTAACCATCTTAACATAACATCCACTGGTACTATTCCTATTTCTCTTAATTCTCTTCTCTTCACACTTAAAAACGTTTTTCTTGTTCCATCTATTCGGAAAAATCTCTTATCTGTGGCTCGATTTACCGCCGATAACAATGTTGTTATATGTTTCTTTCCTCAATTTTTCTGTATATATGACTTATGTTCTGGTTCCCTACTTTTTCAAGGCTCATGTAAAGATGGTTTTTATCCATTGTCCCTTCCGTCACCTCACGTGCTGACGGCCCTCTCCACTGTCTGGCATCAGTGTCTTGGTCACCCGTCTGCATCGGTTTTATCTCGTTTAGGTTTTTCTTTAGGTTCTAAATTTTCAACCTCATTTCCCTTTTGTAAAAGTTGTGCGTTAAGTAAATCAACTCAACTTCCTTTTCCTTTAAATAATGAACGTGCGTCAGTTCCGTTTTATTTAATACAATGTTTGGATGTCTACGGTTGATTCTACTTCTGGCTTTAGGTATTATGTGCTTTTCACCGATGATTATTCTCGTTACTCATGGATTTATCCAATGAAAAAAAAATCTGAATTTTTTCATCATTTTTAAACCTTTGTGGCTATGACTAAAAATATATTTAATATGCACATCAAATTCCTTCAAAGTGATGGCTGCGCTGAGTATGTTAATAATTCTATGTCTGAACTATGTCGTCTTTTTGGTATTTAACATCGTCTTTCCTGTCCTCATACACCACAACAGAATGGCTTGGCTGAGCGCAAGCATCATCATATCGCCGACATGACGCGTACCTTGCTTGCCACTGCACACGTCCCACTTACATTATGGGTGGAAGCAGCGCTCACTACCGTTCATCTCATTAACTTACTTCCCACTTCTACACTTCGTTGGTTTACCCCTCATACACTTTTGTTTGGTCAAACCCCATCCTATTCTCACTTACGCACTTTTGGTTGTTCCTGTTTTCCATTTCTTGGACCTTATGTTAAGAATAAATTAATGAACTGAACCATAAAGGCTACAGCTGCCTTGATATCACTACGGGCCGTGTATACATTTCTTGTCATGTTGTTTTTTATGAGACAGCTTTTCTGTATCAACAGGTCAAGCCTTCAGCCCTTGTTTCTTTTGTTGAATTTGACCTTTTTCCAATTGCTGATAGCCACCTAGCACCTGCACCACCAGGCCAGTTGTCCCCGGTAGCAAGCTCATTGCCTGCCCCGCCTCTTGAACCCTCATCTCCTGCTCTTGTGTCATCACCTCCTCGACCTACCAGTGTACCAACATTTACTTTGGAACATGTCATCTCCCGCATGCCCACTTCATCTCAACCCGTAGGTCCTGCTCCTCATGCACAACCCACTCATCATATGGTCACTAGAACCAAAGCTAGCACTCGACGACCAAAAACATGGACTAATGGCAATGTTAGGTATCCCTTACCCCATGCATTACAAATTTCTTTGTCTACTGATGAGCCTACGTGTTTCTCTCAGGCTAATCGTAAACAGGAGAGGCGCGATGCTATGTTTGACGAAATTAATGCATTAATGAAGAATCAAACCTGGATACTTGTTCCTCCATCTCCACATCAAAATAAAGTGGGATACAAATGGGTATTCTGTATTAAACGAAAGCCTGATGGTAGCATTGACTGCTACAAAGCGCGTTTGGTAGCAAAGGGATTTCACCAACAACCCGGCATCAATTATGGTGAAACTTTCAGTCATGTGATCAAGCCCGTAACCATCAGAGCTTTTCTTTCACTTGCCGTTTCTTAGGGATGGGAACTTCATCAATTGGACGTTAAAAATGCATTCCTTCATGGCCATTTGACTGAGGAAGTATATATGTCGCAGCCACCGAGGTTTGCTGACCCTCAACATCCTCATCACGTGTGTCGTTTAGTCAAGGCACTCTACGGTTTCAAACAAGCTCCGCGAGCATGGTTTCACCGTTTTAGTTCGTTCCTGCTGAGTTATGGGTTCCACCAAAGTCGTGCCGATAATTCCTTATTCATACTTTGCCATCAATCTCACATTATCATCTTGATACTGTATGTTGACGACATCGTTCTCACCAGCAGCCACCACCACATCTTGCAGCAGTTTGTCTTCCACCTAGGCCAAGCTTTTGATCTCAAAGACCTAGGTCCTTTAACCTTTTTCCTAGGCCTGCAGGTGCATCGCACAAATCACGGCTTTCACATTTCTCAAACAAAATATGCTTCTGACTTGTTGCATTGTGCTCAAATGCTAGAGTGCAAGCCCAGCTCCACTCATATGGTTGCTAAACACATCCTCTCTGCCCACACTGGTGACCTGTTAGCTTCACCATCGGAATATCGCTGCCTCATTGGCTGTTTACAGTATCTTACGCTCACTCAGCCAGACATCGCCTTTGCCGTCAACAGTGTCGCTCAATATATGAGCATTTATCGGGTTCCTCACATGGTTCCAGTTAAATGCATTCTACTATACATTAAGGGCTCCATTGACCGAGGTTTATTCCTCACACCACAGCCCCTACACTCTCGCATTTCGGCTTACTCAGACGCCGATTGGGCTGGTTGTGTTAACACACGACACTCCACTACAGGTTATCTTGTTTACCATGATACCAATTTAATCTCTTGGTGTTTAAAGAAACAACCCACAGTTTCCAAGTCAAGTGCGGAATCTGAATATAGGGCTTTGTCTCATGTGGTTATCCTACTTATTTTATTAGTTAGGTATTACTCCAGTTTTCCTCGCATATCTTTACTGTGACAACTTAAGCGCCACCTATATGGCGGCGAACACTGTTTTTCACACATATACTCAGCATATTGAGCTCGACTATCACTTCATTCGTGAACGCGTAGTTGTTGGCAGGCATCAAGTCCTTACCTACCATCTGTGGATCAACTCGCTGATTTGATAACTAAAGGGTTGCTGAAGTCGCGCCACCAGCAGCTACGATCCAAACTCGTTCGTCCTCCGCCGCCGAGTTTGCAGGGGGTGGGGGTGTTAATCTAGAGTCCTAGATCACGTACACTATTTGTTTGTTACTTGTATACTTAGAATATTCTCTCATGTAATCTAATCTCATATAGGACTCTTGTTAATAATGTATTATATAATCAGCATACGATAATGAATGAAGTGTGAATTCCAACAATTTCTCTTTATCTGGTTTATGTTTCCTACCCCCTATTGTTCTTCACTTTCTACAACTAGGCCGGAGGACAACCAAAAGCAAGTGGCCCCACAAGGCACACAAATTAAGGCCCAAAAGCACCCCAAACAAAATATCTAGCCCACTCCAAATGAAATTACCAAAAATACCCCTTCGTTCCGTAAATACCAAGACGGGTTGTTACAGTTTGGGCCATAGCTATTAATTTGCTCACGACTTACGTTTCAACTACCCAAATTGTTTGATACCTGATTTTTCGGCTTACCAATCACCCCACCAAAGTTGTAAAGACTTGATTCGGAGTTACAAGTTAAATCAGTTTGTTATAATAGTGTGTTTGTTTTTTTAAATATGATACTGTCATAATAATCAGCTAATTCTCAATTCAAAGTTAAGTCAGTTGATTATAATAATACGTTGCTTCTCTGACTATGAAGGAGTAGTCTGTTGATTCGCCCGCGTAGGCGACTGATCCATATTCCGTAGCAAAGTTCGTTTGTATTTCAGTTAGTAAACTCAATTGGACGTTTTATTTAAAATTTTATTCCCAAAAGAGGTTTTGGAAAGGTGAACCAATCAATTTGACCTTGAAATGCTGACTTTGACTGGTAGTTATGGGATAATGCAATCCAAGTCGATTGTCCTGACTACACTTAAGGTTTTCTCGTCTTTAGCTTTTTTTATTTTAATTACCATTATTATGAGAAGCAAAAAGAGTTAAGAATTATTAAAATAATTTAGAGAAAAAGAGTTTTGAATTCAAAACATGCATATGTAAAAATTCAGCACAGTATCCACTAGGATATTGGACTACCTGCTCTCGTCTTTAGCTTTTGTTCATCATCAAACTTAATTTTTCTTGGTTAGAGTTTTCAGTTCCCACTTGGAACCTTGGATTATATAAATTTGAAGAGCTTCTCAAGCTATAAACTATTAATTAACAAACCAGGTTTTCCCTTTATCTTGAGACAGTTGTATTCTAAACTAACATTCTAACTTAGAAAGTGAAATATTCAAATTTGAGTGTAAGAAGATAGTTCACTGATTTAACCAACATGACTATTCATGTATGCAATAAAAAAATTCTTTAAAATGTTACTTTGTCCACTGTAACTTGTAACGGACATTTTTGGCCGTTAGAACTTGATTATTGAATCTTTGATTAAGAATCTAACGACTAAAGATTTTGATGTATAAGATAACCGAAGCATACTAGAAGGTCTCAAACGTAAGAGAAAGAGAATTTAGTGAGATCCTTGACCCTTGGATTGCGTAATATGGAAAACATGCTTGTTAAAAAAATTGATATCCAACAACCAAATCAGTAAAGTGCCCTAAAAAATTACTCTACATTCTCTTTTTTCTTTTCCTTTGAAAAAAGGAACTCAGCACACCCAAAAGCCAAAAGCCAAAGTTCAAAAGCCAACTCTATCAGTCTGGTTTTTTCTACTTTTTCTGTGAGACTTGCAGTTACAAAATCTAAATCAGACAGTAAAAAATACAATGTGAACATTCTCCAACTTTGTTTACTTGCTTAAACCAAAATTAAAGAATAGCTTACTTCTCTGTTATCCACACAATTAAAAATCCATATAAACCCACATGGAATTCCTCATTTGAACAAAAATCCACTTCAAACCCACCATTTTTGCTAAATTTTTCCTTCAATTTATGGCAATCCAAATCCCACTGATAGACACATCAGAGCAAAACCCACCTGAAGATGCCAAACTTGATCACTCCCTCCACAGATTTGAGACATTTCTGAGACTCTTTGGCTTCTGCCAATACTCTTTCTGGAGCTTCATCCTCTCCTGGCTTGCATTTCTCCTTGTGGGTGTTGCAGTTCCTATCATGCTTGCCGAAATCATTGATTGCGCCGATTGCGAAAAGTATGAGATCAAAAGGATTGAGCTTGAGATTCTGGTTTCTGTGTCTCTGGTGGCTGCCATTTCTTTGGGTTGTGTTTCTCACAACATCAGAAAGTATGGAGTGAGGAAGTTCTTGTTTGTGGATAGGTACCATGGCCTTATGCTTCTGTTTCGTGATGAGTACGTTCAAAGGATCAACGTGAGTTTCACAGCACCCACAAATCCACTTTTTGTTTTCAATCATATCTATTTTATGCTCGTGAATTTTTGTAGCTAAAAATATCAACCGGTTACAAACGTTTAATCAAAAATTGAGGTCACTAAACCGTGATTTATAAGGCTTATTATACCGGTTATATTTTTAAAGTTTGTGACAGATTATATTCGTGTGTGTTCCACTAAATAATTGTTAGAGTAATATTAGAAAATATGAAAATAACACAAGAATTTCATAATAATAATCATAAAGAAATTCACAATATCACTTATGTATAAGATTAATATAAAAAATAAGAGAGAAATTTAAAAATACTGACAAACTTGAAGATTGAGGCTTGTTTATCTCATTCGCTAGAGAAGTTTTTTATTTGTCTTCATAAAGTAGAAAATAAGAGAATTAATTACTCTTGAGAAATAGGATTTCCCCACTCTATTTATCTCATTCTTCGTTTGTCTTTCGAGTCGTGTTTTGAGAGTACGGAATATATAACATTCGTCAGAGTCCGAAGATTGAAGTGCTTTGACTTCGGATTATAGATTATTGAATCCTATGAGACGGATGCCTACCGAACTACAAACACACGAATATGGACGAAATTCTATCTTTAGAACATTGCATTTATACAAGCCTCATTCTCCAAATTTGTTAGTATTTCTAATTTTCTCCCTAGTTGTTTGTATTAATTTTGTAAATAATTGATGTTTGTGATTTTCTTTATGATTACTATTATTGAAATTCTTATGTTATTTTCATATTTTCTAATATTGCTCCACCAATATTACGGGAGAAAACAACCGGAAAATTGAAATTTAACGTGTACATTATCACCTGCATTTAGGTGAAGTTTTAGCTTTCAAATATTTTTTAAGATTCTGAAGTTTAGAACAAATTTGCTATCTTGCTTGATCTGCTATGACTACTTCAGTAGGAAATTACGTGTTGTAGCTTACATAGCATGAGATTCTGATGTATATTGCTTCAGAAATTCTACCGCTTGCTGGCTGCGTGGGTGTTACCTTGCTTCCTTCTGAAGGCGGCTCGAGAAATCACTATTGTTCTCGTTCTTCATCGCGATCCATGGTGGAAATCTGTTGTCGTACTGCTTGCTGTGCTCGTGTCGTGGACGTATTCGAGCATCATTCTCCTATTAGGCAGTGCTTTGTTCAACTTGGTTTGCAATTTGCATATGATTCACTTTGAGAACTATGGAAAACTTTTAGAAAGGGACTTGGATGTTTCTGCATACATTGACGAACATATTCGTCTAACGCATTACCTATCGAAGATCAGCCACAGATTCCGAATCTATCTTTTTCTTCAGCTCTTAGTTGTGACAGCAAGCCAGTTTGTGGCTCTACTGCAGACAACATCAAACAGCGGGACCATCAACCTCATCAATGGCGGCGATTTTGTAGTAAGTTCAGAACAATGTGACTAATACATTGGACGAGACTAGATTTTACACTTCGAACGTTCTCACGCTTAACCTACGTTACTTGGTTATGATTGTTGCAGGTCTCTTCCATTGTTGAGGTAGGTGGGCTAGTTATATGCCTGCATGCAGCTTCGAAGATTTCACACAGAGCTCAGGCGCTTGCATCGGTGACTAGCAGATGGCATGCTATGGTCACTTGCAGCTCCAGCGATGCGTCTCAACCAGGAACCAATAATAGCTCCGGAAACTTGGGAATCACCAACAGTTCCGGGAACTTGGAGATTTCTTATGCTGCTTCACTGCCGATAAGCTACTCAAAAACTGATCTGGGGGCAGTTGACTATGTTCCAACGCCTACAAATACACAATTGGCCTCATACATGTCCCTCTATCAGAAAAGACAATCTTTTGGTATGCCCTTACAACTTCCTCATGTTCTGTAACCTGATTAAATGGTTTGATTATTAAGCATACGTGAAACCAAACAAGGGCCCATCTGGCAACTATTTTGTTCCGAACTTTTCGTTGTGCAGAGAACTAAAAACTAAAACCGAAACAGTTATTGAACTCGTCCATTGTGTTTTAGTTTTGGAGTGTAACAAAGTTTACTATTGTTTTCAGTGACCTACATGCAGTCCAACCCTAGTGGAATTACCCTCTATGGATGGACGATTGACCGGGGACTCGTTGCCACCATCTGCTTCATTGAGGTCACACTGGCTATGTTCGTGCTCGGGAAGACGATAACGTTCTGATAATTTCTGCCGTGTTTTCGAGGCCGTCGCACTTCACCTCTAATGTTACACTTGTGATGCGTTTTTTACGCAGTTGCATTTAAATTTCGCCATTTTTGGGCATCTCAGATTACTACTGCTGCGTTTTAGAGGCAGAATGCACTTGCAATTCACTTGCAAATTTGTAATAAAACACTTCCCTCCTACATACATTCTGTTTCGTCAAGCATAACATTTACAAACCACCACCGAAATATACAGAAAAAAAAAAACAAAAAATCATTCAAATAATACAAATAATTCGGCTAGAAACATCTAAACTGCCAGATGATAGGAGACCGATGCGAAAGGACACGATGGATTACGGAATTTTGATATGATTCCCTATCAAAAATCCTATTGGGACTTGGCAAATGCACGAATAGAAGATATCCGTCACCGTAAATAGGCAAGGGTAAAAGTTATAAACGCATCCTGCATAAAAGGAGTTCACAGAGAACGAAAGCGTGAAGTACAAAACCGGATCTCCGGTGTTCTAAAACAGTAAAAACTGAAAAGACAAACACAATTACCATAAGCAACATTACGTAATTTTTCCTTCTGATGCTTGGCAGAAAGCTCTGATCTAGCTGCTAATAAAAAGCACAGGCTATGAGGAGAACCGGGCATGTAAATTTCAGACAACTACTTGCACAACATTGAGCTCATATAGGGCATATACATGACATGAATTCATACCATGCAACATTGTGACAATACCAATTCAACCAGCATACCTTTTAACTCGACACGATTTCAGAAAATTAAGGCACATGGAGAGCACGGTAAACATCTTAATTCACATATCTTTATTTTCTTCATTTTTTTTTAATCAGTCTACATCTTTCATTATGCTTTGAGTCACCAGCAGTCTCTATTTCAGAAAATCAGAGCTAAAATTTTTATATGTTCAACTAATTGCACTGGGGACACAATGGGATATCCAACCAGCATACAGTGAACATTTCTCGATCCAAATAGTTGCAAATTGAGTAGATATGTTCGCAATTGATGGAGGTTCAAGGACAAACACTCCACATTATAAAAATACCCATTACCAGAAACTCTACAACATCACAATTCTCAACTGATTCGGCATAAGATTGATGTAAAATATAAACCGTAAATATCCTATGCACACTACACATGGCGAAAGGTACAACTGCTGCCCCTATATTCACAAATTGATAAGGAAAAATAAAAAACGCTTACCAGCTGAATGATCTAGCTGCAGGCAAGCAAATTCTCCATTTGCCATGGCAAGCTAATTCCTAACCGAATAATGCACATGGAAAGATAAAAAAAAAAGTCGTACCCAGTGCACAAGGCTCCCGCTTTACGCAGGGTCTGGGAGAGGTGAATGTCGGCTAGCCTTACCCCCATTTTATGGAGAGGCTGCTCCCAAGTCTCGAACCCGAGACCTACCGCTCATGGGCGAAGGCACTTGCCATCGCACCAAGTGCGACCTCTACATGGAAAGATAAATGTCAAAAATTAAAATTAAACAAATTAAGGAATAAGCAGATGAAGGAGAAGAAAGAAAAGGAATTACAACAGGACAGAGAAAAACAAAATATAAGTTTAAAACCACATTGCAGCTCCTGGCTCTACAAGAGAGAACCTCTACCAAAAAGCATCCACAGAATGTAGAAGCAATCAAAGCCAAAGAGGAACTGAATACCACTGCATGTATCAATAGAACTCAAGCATCTAGCAAAACAACACTACTTAGACAATGAGAATAACAGAGCAAGTGACTAGCAGCACTGTCAACTTATAGCGCGCACTCTCTTTTTCATTGTGTGTATTAGAAGTGGTCTGCATAGAACTTGCATTTACTATGAACTTGACAGAAAAGGAAACATTTCCAACAAATTATTAATCGTGTATTTGCCGTATGAAGTATGAATCCACACTGGCCTAAAATGGAATAACCATAAGCAAAGAATTGGAGGGAGCGACCTGACACACCTCAATACATGAACCAGCAATACATAAAAGACTGGACACACTTCAAAAGACCTTGTGTGCGGTAAAATAACTTACGATTGCGGAAATTCCTGTCTTCAAGTGTGAAATGCGAATAATGCACCCTCCCATTCTTTTAAAGCCCAGAATCACTTGCAAACAAAGTTTAAGCGTGCATAAAGTGAAAGCAAAAAGTTCTTACGTTCAAATAATGAACAAGATATTGATAAAAAATCGTCCCAATATGAACATATATACACAGGTTCAAGAATGTGGAAAAAACAAAAAGTTCTCTTTTCTTCATAACATTATGCCACACCTTCATATACAAAGACTGCATCGCTATTAAGGTGCTCTTAACAGGATAAACCATTAGTGCCAACTGACAGCCCTTGCAACTCCTTCGCTCCAGCTATCCTAAAGGACCTACAGTACAGGTCTGTGATGTACTTTTTCAGCTCCCTGATGGTCACGTTAGCAAAATATAAAGAACTGAAAAAAGAACAGGCCAAGATTATTGCTGTAAAATTTTCTCACGATGCCTGCTGCGAAGGTGCCGGTCTTGAACATGTTGATCGGGAGTAATTGGCTTGAAATCCTTTCCCGGTTCCGGGGACTCGCGAAACCAGTTATGGTTAAGGGCATCCTTCGCCGTTATTCGCTCCGCAGGGTTATAAGATAAGAGCCTCTTCAGCAAATCAAACCCAGATTCAGAGAGCACTGGGCATGATCCAGTGAAAGATGTGGCAGGAAATTTCTTGCGCAGAAGATTGTACCTGAAAGAGTTTAAGAAACTATTAGAATGGTACTAAACGGTGAAAACAAGTAATCCAAAAAATCAGAAGGAAGCAATGACCTTGTATTCACTAAAATTAAAAAGGAACAAAGAAACTTACGGTTGTTTAACAAAATTAGCTTTGAAGCCTGGCAATTTAGATAAACCACTTTTTTCATCTGGTGTACCGAGCGTTTTGAAGATCTTGTCAAGCTGCTCAATTTCATCTTTCCCACTAAAGAGAGGTGCCTTGGCCAACAATTCAGCCATTATACAACCTACTGACCACATATCAATTGCTGTAGAGTACTGTTTTGCACCTAATAGAATTTCGGGTGCTCGGTACCACAATGTGACAACCAAAGGAGTATATGGCTTCAGTGGACTCCCATATTGTCGTGACAGCCCAAAGTCACATATTTTCAACTCACCCTCCATGTTCAAAAGAATATTTGATGTTTTCAGATCTCTGTGAAGGATCCAATTATCATGAAGAGACTCTACACCCTCCAAAAGTTGTTTTATCAAGTACTTAACTTCGCCTACACTAAATGGCTGCTTCATTGACTCCATTAGCCCCTTGAGGTCATGGTCCATATGCTCCATAACCATATAAACACCATCAAAGTCATCCACAACAACTTCCTTAACACCGACAATAGAAGGGTGATTAAACGACAAAAGAATGTTGATTTCTCTCAAAGCTGACATGGGGAAACCATCACATCCCTTATCGACATCCATCTTCATCTTCTTCAATGCTACAATTTCTCCGGTCTTTTTATCTCTGGCTCTAAAGACAACACCATAAGTGCCTTCACTTATATGGTTGAGCCTTTCATACTCAAACACACTTCTGCAACCTTGAAGCATGTTTATAAGTTTTTGTGTAGGCATTGCAGGCTCTTCAATCTGAGGAAGATCAGAATCATCCTCTGAATCAGAGTACATCTGGCTATAGTCAGCAATCCCAGCATAATTATCAGCATCCATGTGCGCATCATCACATAACTTGTCTCCATGAAGTCTATCTCCACTGCCAGGCTTCTCAAAGCTGTCTTCTTTGTCAGAGCCTAAAATTCTAGCCCGACTCAACCCATAGCCTTCTCTTCGGATCTCCCCACTTTCAGGCGAGCTGTCATCAGAAATATCCCTTGGAGAATCACCATCAGATGACCATTTTGACAATGAGATGTCACATTGATAGAAAAATTCCTTGTCTTCCTTGTTCTTTTGGGCCTGCTCATCTTCCCCGACCTTCTGCAAATGTAGTGGCGCAGAGAGATCAGCTGGTGCCTCTAATCGAGACACATCAGAAATTTCGGAAACCTCCACTTCCACAGACTCCACCATTCTAGCTGGAGACTTGGAAAGAACTCCAACAGAAACAACATCCTCAACCTTAGCAATAGCAGGTAATCTTGCTACATTTGGATGAGGAGTGGGCAGAGGAATAAGAGGAACAACTCCATTTTTTGATGGGACTCTCACTTCCTTCTCTTCTTTGTCCCATATAATAGGAGAAAACTTCCTCTTCTTCTCAGGAGGTGATTGAACAGCATCTTCACTCCTCCGGGTTTTGCCATTCTTATGCAATGGCTCTGGGGCATTTGGTAGCTGCCCAGATCCCCGTGCATCGCGCACATTGAAAGATTGATGGACTCCATTCCTATGTTTGACACCATCACTGCGACCATGACCTACTTCACCACGAGAAACTCCATTCCTATAATACTCAAATTCTCTTTTTGAGTAATTATAAGAATCCCTTCTTCTCAAACAATCGACTTGCCCTGTCGCCATATGATTAACAACCATAGCTCTCCTTAATCAGTGATCAAACTCAACAATTGAAATCAAAACACAAAAACCCCCCAACAAATTTCAAACCCTGAATCCAAATCACTTTCAACTTTATCAAATTAATTTTTTTTTTTTCAAACCCTAAACAATCCCCACTCCCAAAACAACAAAAAAATTCAATATTTTTCCCTTGCAAACCCTAATTCAATCAGCACAGACACAGAGATAATACAATTCACTAAAAATTCAATTACAAATGTACACACACACACGCAGATCAAAGAACATCAATCAGATAGCAAATCGGCGAATAACAGAAACCCTAGAACCTCGATTTCTGTAGGAACCCGCGAGAAATTCACAGGTATCGGAAGGCCTTACCGGCAAGAGGAATCGAGATCGGTTAACAAGGAAACCGATACGAGAGCGCCGGCGCCGATGAGAGGAGCTCAAGAAATCGATCAGCCTCCAAGGGGTTCTTCTCGCTTTTACGCGTTTTTGATGATCTGGTCTTCGTCTCTGCGTGGAATTTATGGATGTATGTCTCGGAACCGAATCTAGCTCATGAAATTTGATTCAATTACAAACATAAATTTATTTAAAATTATAATAATTTCAACCGTTAAATCAAATTTCAACGATGAGAATTCTTTTAATCAGACGCCTCCATATGTGTCAGGGCTGGTTCGCTATTGCTGTGCGTTGAAAAAAAACTGCTGTGAGAATAAGCGGCTGTGAAATAAATCAGCATAATGTTTGGTAAACTTTTTTGAAAAAGTGCTTTTGGAAAAAAAAACAATCTGTAGGTCTTTTCATTAAAAGAGCACTGTAGCTCTGTGTGCTTTGAAAAAAGTCAGTTTTCCAAAGCTACAAATAGTAGCTTCAGCTTTTTCCTTTGATTTTAGCTTATTCTCACAGCAGCTTCCAAAATAAGCCCTTTTTTTTTCAGTTTACCGAACACCTAAAACCCTCACAGTTTTTTTCATGGGTGTTTTTTTTTAAGCACCTCACTCTCAAACCACACCTCAGTCTCCTCTGCGATTCCATATTTCGCTTGGTTTTCTGTTTGTGGGCCTACAAATTATTTCACAAGGTTTATTCAATGGGCTTAACTAGACAAAAATAGTGGGCTATTGGGCCTAATTATTTACCAAATACCATAACCTCTTCGGCCTCTTGGGCCCACTAGTACTCCAGCCCAAACACATGGCACGTGCATGAACGGATGTGACAATGTTAGTCACTGTAAGATGATACTGCTCGAACCCGAAATAGGGTTTTTTATTTTTAGCGGTCAGATCATATAAATTAAAGAAAATTAAATGACATAAATTAATAAGGGTGTGTGAGAAGTAGAAATAATTATATGGATAGTACACCCTTTTTTTCTTTATAGAAAAATATATTTCTGGTATGAGGTGAGAAAATAAATTGATTTTGACCTCATTTTTCATAAGATTCAACATAAAATATTTCATTTATAAGTGAAAAAGCAAATCATAAACCGTATTATCAAGTGGTAATTGATTGAGAGTTAGCATGTTCTTTTAAGTAAAGCGTTAACATTAGTGTATTAAGTAGTTAGTTGTTTTGGGGGTTGGGGAGGGGAGGGAATTGGTGGAAATCAAACTTGCATAAACATAATTGTATTTTGCCACTAACACACTGCAATAAAACGCCATCTACAAGAGTTAGCAAACAGGTTAATGCAAGAGTTAGCATGGTTTGGTTACTCATCGTTTGACACATTATATAGGCTAAAGTCTCACAAACACTAATAGCAAACAGGTTTGATTAATGTCAATCACAATATCTCCATTTTGACAAGTAAAAATAAACTTGTTCCACTTGTACTAAATCAATAATTCGAATCAATTGGTCTTTAGAGTGAATTGTACATGCATGTAATGACATGATTGTGGAATTTTTTAAATAGATTTTCAGTTGACAATATCTGTGAGCCAATTGAAATATTATAACTAAATAAGGATATATTTTAGCCATTTGATTGAACAAATTAAAAAATTTAAAACATAGAGTTAATATTAAGATGGTGCATGCATAGAAACAAAAAAGTGTGCTGAAATTATTTTCCATCGTTAAAGCTGATTAGCTTCAAGCCTTCAATCATAAATCTTCAAACTTCGACAAAAAAAAACATATATCTCCAAATAAAAAAGAATTGCAGAAAATAAAAATGACAATGTGAAAATCAATATTATTTCCCGTAGCACGGTGGCAAAAGACCCACCAATCCTCAGTATCGTAATTGATTCCATCCCCAAGGCAGGCAGGCACAAACTTTAAAGAAACTACTCCTCCTTATCCTCCTCCTCTTCCATGCACAACTTGAATCACCACCTGCTCACCTTACCCACGTAACGCCATGCACCGCCCCATTATGATAATGCTCATCTGCTTTTCGATCACGCCTCTATATATCTACACTACTCCCCTTACAACCACATCATAGTTTTTGCTAGCCAAAGAAAAAAAATTATGGGAGCTGGCACATGTGGCTACACTGAACAAGCCTCCATGAGGAGCAGTCGTGGTGGCAGAGGATATGATGTTTCTGATCAGGTCGAAATTTGGGGACGGTACGATGGATATAAGATTAGGACCGGGGAAGCAAGTTAATAAGATTATGATCATGAAGAAATCAAGGTAGAGAATTTGAATGTGACTCAACGAGTCTTTGCTGTATTGATGTTTCATATATATACATGTATTGGTGTTGACTACAGAGAATTACAAATGGTATATAAGAAATCATATTGCTACGAATAATTACAAGACTGAATGAACGAATATTAATGCTGGACTGATTTGGTGCGATTGATATTTGTATTGGCTGATTTATTCTCATCATCCTCTCTCAAGCAAAATGGAACAAAGTGAAGATTGAGCTTACATGGGAAAATCGATCGCGCAAGAGACCTTTGGTGAACACATCTGCAATCTGGTTATGAAAGGATATGTAGCGAGTGATGAAGACGTCTTGAGAGAGGAGTTCACGAACAAAGTAGTAATCAATTTCGATGTGACGAGTGGGAGCTTGAAACACTGGATTAGAAGCCATATGTAATGCATAAATGTTATCAACAAAAATGCATGGTGGTGAGTGAATGGGAATGCCTAATTCACAAAAGAGATAGCAAAACCATCGAAGCTCAGCAGCTGTAGTTGCAAGGGCTCTCTATTCAGCTTCAGAACTAGAACGAGACACCGTAGATTGGTTCTTGGCAGTCCACATAAGAAGATTAGGCCCAAGAAAAATGCAAGCACCAGTAGTCCATCAACGATCATCAATGGACACCGCCCAGTCAGCATCCGAAAAACCACGAAAAAAGATGTCATGAGAGGAAGGAAAGAGAAGGCCGTGCTCTACAGTGCCTTTGATGTACCGATAAATCTGTTTGATCGCTTGAAGAAGAAATGTCTTGGGATTATGCATATATTGGCAAACCTGATTAATGGCAAATGCAATATCCGGTCGAGACAAGTTCAAATATTGAAGTCTACCAACCATGCTTCTATGTGTTTCGGGATCGGAGATTGGATCACCATCATGAGTTGAAAGAAAAATAGAGGAAAGGAACATAGTAAGACTTGGTTTGCAAAGATCCATTTTGAATTTCTTCAACAAGTCTGATGCATAGCGTGTCTGGGCAAAGGTAAGATGGCTGGTTGTTCATGTGACTTCCATTCCAAGAAAAACATTGAGTTCCCCTAACTTGTGGCTAGCAAAGGTAGCACATAATTTGTCAATGAACTAATGGATAGCCATGGAGGTGGAGTCTGTGACAATAAAACCATCGACATACACAAGTGCATATAAAGAGTATGTGGATGAGTGGTTCATAAATAAAGAGGCATTTGATATGCTATGGAAAAATCCGTGACCATGCAAGAAGGATTGCAAGCTTTGGAACCAAGCGCAAGGGGCTTGTTTTAAGCCATAAAAAGCCTTATGGAGATGACATACATAATTAGAGCGGCTTAGATCAACAAAGCCGTGTGGTTGCTTCATATAGACTTCCTCTTGTAAGATGCCATTTATGAAGGCATTGCGGACATCTAGTTGTTTCAAAGGACAATTCTGGGATACAGCTAAGGCAAGGATAGTACATATACTACCAGGTTTGACAATGAGGCTGAATGTCTCGTCATAATCAATGCCCTCTTGTTAATTGAATCCCTTAGCGACAAGACGAGCTTTGTGTTATTCAATAGAGTTATTGGCCTTTCGTTTGACCTAGAAGACCCATTTACATCCCACTATGTTCATGTGTGCTGTAGCGGGAACAAGTGACCAAGTTTGATTTTGGAAAAGAGCATCATACTCTTCTTTCATAGCTTGCTGCCAATGAAGGTATTTAGATGCTTGAGTGTAACTTGAAGGTTCGAAGGACCAAGGATCTGAGACAACAGCAGTCAAACCATGGGGAAGTGGATGGCGAGCAGAACCATAAACCAAGTCATTGAGGCTGCAGAATTTTTTATGTTCAGGAGATGTGTAGGGAGAAGCATGAGCGGCAGTGAAGTCTGATCGTATAGGGGATTGCGAAGACGTGTTGAAGTGGGGTGACATGTTGGGCGCTGGATCTTGAGAGATTGGTGCCTGAGAAATTGGTGATGTATTTTAAAGGGATGTGGGCTCCAATATAGGCTGAACTGGTATTGATAAAATTGGTGCATATAGGCTACTAACTGATGGTTCATGAGTTGGTGCAATTGGCAGCAAGGTAGTCTCCAAGATAGTTGATTTCTTCCGGATTTCTTCCTTGATTTCTTCCTGATCCTAATCTTATTAACCTGCTTCCCTGGTCCTAATATTTCATAGTATTAGAACAGATTGTTCCACATGTGAAGCGAAGCGACCACACGCGCTCCACGTCATCCCGTTATGTTGTCCACGTGTTAGGCTTGAAAATTCACCATACGTGAGAGCCGTGTTGAGAATGGATCCCACATTGATGGGACTTACATGAGCTTATAAGTAAATTGGGTTACTCCCTATATTGCTAATTGGTTTTATGGTGGAACCTCAACTTTCTTCAATAGAGAGTTTGGTAGGATTCTGACCAAGGATGCTTTGCAGTTTGTGGTGGAGTTGCAGAGGGAGGCTAAGAACCAAATCAAGTATGCGTTGAAGTGTAGGAAGGAGGCTCGGAAGAGGTACAATGAGGGGGGCTTTGCCGGGGTTTGATCCGGTTCCCAAGTTCATTAGGGAGGCGAATTAGGTTTGTGCACTGGTACCGGAAGCACTGAGGGATCGAAAGGTGGAGATTACGGGGCTTGTTGAGAGGAAGATGATCATCAATGCTTTCAATTATGGAGCCAATGCTTTCATGGTCAGTATAGCTCATACATTCAGGCAAACCCAAGGTGCTGGATTCGGACTTTCTTTTATCTCCCTAAAATGAAGAATTCAAGGTAAGTAATTACTAATTATATAACTTATTAATTTGTTCAAACATGTTAAAGATGCTTCGACCAATCGTTTTTGTGCCGGAAGAATGTAATTTGTATGCCAAAATTTATGTTATATCATATTAGAATTTCATGT